GCTCATAGCAGTCATGTATGCATTATATAAATCCACCATTTTGAGTTGTCATCCCTGCTAAAAAATCCAGCTTAAACCAGCCTAGGCTGGTTGGCTGGTTTTAGCTGGTCAACCAGGCTGGTTTTAGAGGGGTTTTGGCCACTTCCAGGCTGGTTTCCAGCCATTTCCAGCTTGGTCTTAGCTGGTCAGGCTGGAAAATGACCAGCTAAATCCAGCCAAAGCCAGCTTGACAAGCCTGGTTTAAGCTGGTTTTGGCTGGGCTCTAAGCCTGCTAGGCTGGTCAAGCTGGTTTTAGCCGGTCATTTCCAAGCCTAACCAGCTAAGACCAGGCTGGAAATGGCTGGAAACCAGCCTGGAAGTGGAAATGGCCAAAACCAGCCTGGTTGACCAGCTAAAACCAGCCAACCAGTCTAGGCTGGTTTAAGCTGGATTTTGCAGCAGGGATATCATGGTTTTTTTTTCGACACAGCTAAGGATCCGCTTCATGGCAAAATCGATAGTGAAGGCAAACCATTCAAACAGATTCTGCTACCATTTGCTGTGCTTTTAGTGTAGAATGCTGTTGGTGTGCTAAGAACAGGGGATGTCCAGACTCGGTCCTGGAGGGTAAAGTTTAGTCTCAACCCCAATCACACACACCTGGGCTAGCTAATCAAGCTCTTACTAGGCCAGGGGTGGGCAAACTTGGTCCTGGAAGGCCGGTGACCTGCACAGTTTAGCTCCACCTCTAATCAAACACACCTGTTTGTAGATTTCTAGTGATCTTGAAGACACTGATCAGCTTGTTCAGGTGTGTCTGATTAGTGTTGGAGCTAAACTGTGGAGGTCACCGGCCCTCCAGGACCGAGATTGCCCATCCCTGTACTAGGCTTTCTAGAAACATCCTTGCAGGCAAGTTGGAGCTAAAATCTGCAGGACACCAACCCTCCAGGACCGAGTTTGGACACCCGTGACTAAAAACAATACAACATGAACAAACATTGTGAGAGTGAATCTGTCAAATTAATATAGTGGTCACGAAACTTTCCATCGAAAAAGATGACATGACGTATTGCACAATCGATCAGGTCGGGACTCACAGGTTATAATACTCTTGATCTTCACAATCAGTTAAAGCTAGTGATGGGTCATTCATGAACGATTCGTTTTTTTTAAAAACTGGAACTGCGAGTCCTCTCAGGGAGTGATTCGTTCATCTGTGCGTGCGCACATTTGTGCAGGTGGTATCGTTAATTTCAAGTCTTCATCACATTGGCAGAAGCCAATCATACGCGTTTAGAGCCGGAAAAAGAATTGATCCGTTCATCTCTCGAGTCCTCTATCGGGTCTGAGTCACTCATTCATCACGGGCCAATCATGTGCGTTTAGAGCCGGAAAAAGAATTGAACCGTTCATCTCTAGACTCCTCTGGTTTGAGTCATTCTCTCACGTGATGAACGAACGATCATGGCTCCTATTGGCTTAGACTGTGCATTGATTAAGATTATATGTGACTGTCAGTGTAACGTGAATGAACCCCTGACATTTGAAGACTTGAAGAGGTGAGCTGAGCAAACAGACAACAACACCTTCATAGACAAAAGAGCAGGTAAACATTGAATTATTATTTTCTTCTTCTTATATTCTAGTTATTACTTATTTGTCGTACAATCAACCTTTTAGGCTAGCTGTAGATGTGTTTGGAAGCAATTCGTAACTTCTTAATAATATTTTGGCAAATTGAACCACATGAACGAAATGACTCGAAAAAAGATTCGTTCATCTTGATGAACGAGACTCAAAAGATCCGAGTCAGTAAAATGATCTGAACTCCCCATCACTAGTTAAAAGCCTGATGCAAAGAGTTCTAGCTGCAAGCAGATTTAGCCACAGGGAGACGATGTTACGGTTATTTAAATTTGGTGAACTAATATCCACTCGATCCAGTTTATGCAAACACTTCACTGAAGTACAAAGTGAAACTATTCTTTTTCTTTCTGAAAGGGATAGCTCACCCAAACTCACTATTAACCTCAGTTGGATCCAAACCTTTATAGGTTTCTTCATCATGTTGAACACAAAAGAAGATATTTTCAGGAAAGCTGGAAACCTTTAACCACTGGCCTCCATAGTGGGAAGATGAATACCACGGTATTGAAAGTACACAAATACTTTTGCGTTCAGCAAAAGAAAGAAAGTCAAACATGTTTGGAGCATGTTAATGGTCAATAAATGATGACGTCATTTTCAGTTTTGAGTGAACTGTCTCTTACACTATAATCATTTCTGCGTGTGTCATAATAATAGTAAATATTCATTGTAGTGATGTGACGTTGTGTGCCGAGGCTTCGTAGCATGTATCAAAAAAACGATACATCTCGCAGTGAACCGAAGCTTGATTCGTTTTGCCATCATCACGTGATCAGTGACGTCGAAGCTTCATTTACGCTTATACCCACGTGGCTGCTTCCATTTTTGATTCAAAGGTTTGAACACCCTCATGGGTTATTAAAGTGTATAGCGAGCGATTGGGCGTTGATTACATACATTTCAACGGTTTCAACGCACTGCAACAGTCCCACACACAAGTAATTAAACTAAAATACAATAGTCATTTATAGTAAAAAGGTTTTAAACCATACTAAAGTGTATTAACATATTTTTTACAACCATCTTTAAAGAAAACCACTGCATATCGTAGTATAGTGTGTGCAGCCCGAAAGCTCCTCCTAGAGCAGGGGTCACCAATCCTGGTCCTGGAGGGCCGGTGTCCCTGCAGGGTTTAGGTCCAACTTGCCTCAACACACCTGCCTGGGTGTATCAAGTATACCATGTAAGACCTTGATTAGCTTGTTCAGGTGTGTTTGATTAGGGTTGGAGCTAAAATCTGCAGGACACCGGCCCTCCAGGAACAAGTTTGGTGACCACTGTCCTAGAGCATTCGCCTTTCATGCAGGAATCGCTGGTTCGATCCCTGTTTGGAACGGGACTAGTTGGAAAATTATAAATGTAAATACTTTAGAACACCTTGGATTTTACTACAGTAATCGGTGGTGTAATGTAACGTACCTTATGTGTAAAAAAATACAGTAATTGAGTCATTTATTTAAATTACTGTTGTTGTATTACTACATGAATGAGTTGGTCAGTTGTGAACATTTGACACTGCAACACAGTGCTTTCACCAGAAGAGGTCCTCATTGAGCTCTGATTCCGAAAGCTTCGAGTGACGAACCATTTTCCGGTAACATCGAGCGCTTCACTCGTTCAGGAAGCTTCATTTCACCATCACTAATCCATTAAGCGTTCACATTATTTATCATAAACATAATTCAAATTATTACCTCAAAAGGTATTATCCAATTGCGGCAAGGTACAAAACCCTGGTTACTTTTTTTAGACCTTCATGGACATTCTTACCACCAGGGCCGGAGCAAGCTGAACTGCCGCTCTAGGCAAAGGACGATCATGCCCACTTCAACCCGAAAGTGAAAACGGAAATGACCGGTTAGCAAATTGAAGTTGCGGACATACCTGAGAGCGCGGGTGTTGAGGGAGGTGTCGCGGACGCCATCCTCTCTATTCTTCCACCCTAGGCACGGATATAACTGAGGCGGCGTGGGGTGAGGGAGGTGTCGCGGACATAACCGAGGACGCGGGTGTTGAGGGAGGTGTCGCGGACGCCGCCCTCTCTATTCTGTCGCCTATATGGACGCACCGGCCCTTTTTACCATACAATTCCAGCAGTAATCCTGTGTCTGATTAAAGTTACCAGTGTTAACTTGCGTTGTCTGCTTACCTACTTGCCTGTATTATAGCACCTATAACATCCTCGAACTCTTCCAGTGTCAAGACACACAGCAGACAGACACTGGAATATAGTAAATGACAAGGTTTATTGAACAGATGAATCCAGGAAGTAGCAGTTAATGTAAACAAAGGTCTCGATAGAGCAGACAGAGAATCGAGGGAACTGAACCAAGCGAGATGATCGGGAGACGACTAAAAGGTGCGAGTTTCAGAATTGACAGAGTGAATGCTGCGTACGCACAAAAACTTTGCGGACGCAAGGTTTCACGCTCACAATCACTCACGTTTGGATTTACTAACGATAAACATGCCTTTTTGTGCGTGTCTGTTTTATTTCCATTGGCGACTCCTAGAGGCAGTTGTGTTAAATTGCTCTCTACAAAGTGTCTTTGAGCCGTGCAATGGCAGCTGTATGAGACGGGTTCATCTAGCAGGTATATAAGATTTGCCTTGCAACAGGAGGGAGCCCCGTGCTCAGGGCCGGAGTGGGACTCCTTTTCAGCCCTGGAGTTTCAAGCCTCAGACCGGCCCACCTCAGTTCACAACTGACTATATTAAAATAAGGTCATTTCCAAATCAGTTTCTAATAACACTCTCACGTCTTTTTTTGAGAAAACAGCTGCTTTAGAACTTCAAATGTTCAACAACCCTTACAGTATTATATGTCTTAACAATAAAAATGAAAACAAATTGCTCTAATGAGGGATCGAACCCGGGTCCGCGGCGTCTTAACCTAACGTGCTAACTGCCAGACCACAACAGCAGTCTACAGAAAGAAGACACAACTGAGTTTTATCATCATTAAAATAGATGAAAAGAGAAGAGTTCCGGTAAAATAATGATTAAAAAGGCTGTGGTCAAGTAAATAAATACATTTAAAAAGTGTGACTGCTGAGAGCAACAGATTCTGGAGTTAGGGACACCGGCCCTCGCGGCCAAAAAACGGACCGGCCCACCGGGAATTCTCCCGGTCCTCCCGATTAGCCAATCCGGGCCTGCCCGTGCTCGAGGGTCTTATGAGCTCAGGGCTCTCTCCCGAGAGGGCATGCCAAACAAGCTTATAATCAATCATCAGCTAAGTGTAAACTCTTGAAAGTGATGTTGTTTCTTTTCAAGCTCAACCGAACTGCGCTCTGGCCCAACTCTTCCAAACTGGGCCAGCCAACCGGGCATTTGTCCGGCACAGGGGGACCGTTAAAAAGACCACTTCCCAAGGTTAAAGAAAAGCTCTTTGATAAGAAGACATCCCGTGACCATATATAATAACATGACATTGCAGGAAATCAACATACACAATTGAACAATCCCTTTTTCTCTCACCTTCATTTATACATGTACATTGATAATAATGCAAAAACGTCAAACAAACTCAATTAAAGCACAACAGAACATTATTTAACAGCGTCCTCGTGTTCTGGATCATCGGATGGACCCCTTTGCAGTTCCATGTCTTCGGAGATTTGTTTATCATTCTGTATTTTCCTCTTTATCCATATTGTGGCTATCCAAAGCAGGGAACAGGCTAATACTCGAAGGCAGTTGGTCAGTCCTTGAAAGAGGAACCTTATTGGGCCAATAATAGTTTAGTGTGAATTAGTTCGATTATGTAGAACAGAACAGGGTGAAAACAATAGTTCAGCTCACCTGAACGTCTCAATGTCATAAATTCTGCAGGCACCCCTTCCACAAGATTTCCTCTGGCCCCATTTCAGACAGCTGGAGTCAACAAGAGCACCAAAGTAAATGGGAGCAGGAATACCACCTTTGAAAGAAAAATTCAATCGCATTATAAACAATGCTGCACCAGGCCTGAATGGCGGTCTAAGACAAGAAAACATATACGTGAATATATTATACATTCCAAAACAACACAAACTCACCCAAAACTCTTATAGATAACAGTAACACTCCCACAGAGAGAGACTTCAGCTCGGGATCCACAATCCTGCAAGGACACGTTCTCAATACGCATCAATGTAGCTTTATATTTTAAACAGTATCAAGTCACATTAGAAAATATTTAGGGTTCCCACCCAATAGATCAGGTCTATACGTTGTACTTTGGGCAAGCAAAATAATCTTATGTTGTTTGCCTAACAATATGCTCTTGTCAGTTTTTCTTTATATTATACCTCAGAGACATGGTGAAAAGGGGAACAGCACCAAGACTGTACACAAAGAGGGCCAAAGACTGCAATCCCAGATAAAGGTACATCATTCTGTTGCAGTTGGGATTTTGTGAACACTGTCCAAGAACTGCAGAGGAGTTGCCAACGCTCAGTCCCCAGCTCTGAATACACCCGCAGTCATGGAATGTCTGACAAAACAAGACAAGAGAGAGGAAAATACACTTATATAAACATTTATTAAAGAATTGAATGAGATTAAAGATCGTTATTCACTGCATTCACCTTATTCCGTCCTGCACCCTGGGTGGAACTGCAGCCCGCATGGCAAGGGGAGATGTAGGTCACTCCATTCTCTCCACACACTGGATCCCAATGGAGGTCTGGACACCCACAGTCAGCATTGCAAGAAGGGAGTACATCACTGGTTACACCTTGAACTTCAGTAGATCTGCCACATGAACAATTCCTTTCGTCAAATTGTTCTACACTTTACAGGTGATTTAAAAATGAATAGGCGGATAGAGATAATAGTACCCTTGATAGGGCACTGTAACCCCAGCGATATCTAGATTTTCACAGCTGAGAGCGAAGAAAGGTACGGTTAAAAACACTGTGGCGACTATGGTCAACAAATTCACTCTTGCGGATGCCAGCAGACCCCATTTAAACCTCTTCATCATCAACCCACTCAGGAAAACACCCAGCGCTACTGCCGGAACACATGTCACTCCTATGTACAGTGTACAAATATGCAACCAGTTAAAATACAGGAAATACAGAAAGATTCTAGTAACCATCACAGTTGTCACCTATCAGAAAGTTGGCTTTGGATGCGCTTTGCCCAAACTGCTGTTCCAGATACTTTGGCGTGTACGTTACAAGTATGGCGAAGTCGTTGAATGCCACTATACTGTACGCCAGGTACAGAATGTAGATCTTATTGGTCAGCAGACGCTTAAAAGTTGGCGCAAAATCTAGAAAACAAGAAAATAGCACATTATTTAAACATTAAGAAAGTGATTTTTACACTGTCAAAGGAGACGACTGTGTAATCTTGCCATACCTTTGACTATCTCTGTAAGGCTGGGTGTGGTTTTGTGCTGTTGTGGGGTGTTGTCTAGCAGTGAGATTTGGGAGTTTTCAGGCAGAGCTTTTGGCAAGAACCAGAAAGGAAAAGCAGCGAGGACAGTCAACAAGCCAGACACCACATAACCCAACCACCAAGCCCCAACCCAGCGAGAGTCCTGTGGTGTGATGGTCACGCTTTCTGAAAAGAGAATATGCAAATAAATATATCTGCTCTGCTGAAAAATCCAGCTTAAACCAGCCTAGGCTGGTTGGCTGGTTTTAGCTGGTTGACCAGGCTGGTTTTAGAGGGGTTTTGGCCATTTCCAGGTCGGTTTCCAGCCATTTTCAGCCTGTTCTTAGCTGGTCAGGCTGGAAAATGACCAGGCAAATCCAGCTAAAACCAGCTTGACCAGCCTGGTTTAAGCTGGATATAGCTGGTTTTGGCTGGACTCCCAGCTTGGCTAAGCTGGTTTTAGCTGGTCATCTCCCAGCCTGACCAGCTAAGACCAGGCTGGAAATGGCTGGAAACCAGCCTGGAAGTGACCAAAACCCCTCTAAAACCAGCCTGGTCGACTAGCTAAAACCAGCCAACCAGCCTAGGCTGGTTTAAGCTGGATTTTTCAGCAGGGTTTTAGATTAGTGGTTCTCAAGCATGGTTCTGGAGGACCAGCAACACTGCACATTTTCCATGGCTGCGTCCGAAACCGCCTACTACTCAGTAGGTACTGCATTTGAATATAAACGTACTACTCGGCCGTTAGAAAAGTACGTTCTATACAGTAAAAATGTAAAAAGTATGTATGGAATTCGGACGTACTACATCCGCCATTTTGTCATGGTCACGTGACCTACCTGCCTCAGTTGCGTCGCTTTACTTCCATTCATAAATTCGCTCACGGGGCATCATGGGATAGCGCAGCATGCATGGGATGCGCACTCTGGAATCTCGCCGGAAGTAGTAAGTCATCCGGGTACTTCTCGCATACTGATTTTCAAATTCTTTGAATTCGGACATACTACTCGGCTCGCATACTGATTTTGGCGTACTATATAGTATGGAAGCATGTCTCCTTAACAAACCACACCTGATTTAGATCATCAGCACATTAGTAGAAACTGCAAGAACTGAAGTTGGTATAGCAGACAAAGGATAAATGTAAAACATGCAGTGCTGTTGGTCATCCAGGAATGTGGTTAAAACCACTCTTGAATGAATGGTCAGTAGCTATTAAAATTTTGGGAACCCCTTAAACCAGGGGTGTCAAACTCAATTCCTGGAGGGCCGAAGCCCTGCACAGTTTAGTTCCAACCCTGCTCCAACACACTTACCTGTAGGTTTCAAACAAGCCTGAAGGACTCAATTAGTTTGATCAGGTGTGTTTAATTAGGGTTGGAACTAAACCGTGCAGAGCTGCGGCCCTTTTGGAACTGAGTTTGACACCTGTGGCTTCAACAATCGTTGAACCACTCACTGATGCTCCAGAAAGAAACAGGATGAAAGTGTCCAATGTTATTTTATTTGGATGAAATATAATTTCTTTTTTGTTTCTGCATTTTTCCCATTGGCTTTCACATTCCAAAAGATCTTAATTCACCACATTTCCTTCTGGAGCATTTGAACCTTTTTTAAATGTTGTGTTTGATTCCCTTAATTGTCCTCAGTGTGAAAAGATGGATCTCACAATCAAACAGTCACTGCTGAGAAAGGTTCGGATATTCAAACAAAGGGAAAACTGAATGATATGTCTGTGTTCAATCACAGCAGGAATCAAGAGCAGCATTTATACAGGTCTGAGAGCAACAGGCCTGAATAGTCAAGCTTAAACCTCATTCAAAATAACTAGATAATCAAGTGTTTAGGACTGTGATTCTTGTGTTGAAGCATGTCTGAACTAATATCTGCAGATTGGTAGCTATGCGGGAGCAGAGTCTGCGATCCCTTCATATTTAAAACAGTCAGGTACAGGTCTGACTTCGAACACATGGACCTCTCTTCTCGTTGTAAGTAGGGTCTTATCTCCAATCTGTTCTTCAAGTCTCTGTTATCAGCCTTGCCTCACTAATTATAAGCTGGAATTAAATTCTCACACTAAGGTTTACCAGGGTTTAAGGTGTACCCTACCTAAAAGAAGACCAAACCTTTATCATGTATGGTCATGTATCAAGATCTCCTGAAGAGACTTCTTCCAAGTCAACCTCAGTTAATGACCTTGCCTTTGTGCTGGCTATCATTGTTGGAGAACATCCTATCTTTCTTCTTCCCTGATGCCTTCACTGAGATTCTTTTCCTGACCCTAAAGGCAAAGACACACCAAGCCGATGTAAAACAACTGGCGGACAGCAGCCAACTGAAATGGCAGTGCGCATTCTGAGCCTGCCTGGGTGAATACCAATCAATCCCTGCTGGTACCAGGACTTAGCACACTGGCTCAAACTATTTTCTCCAGCTTCATCATGGCCTCATAAGTTGGGCTATTCTAGGTCACTTGCCCCTTTAGGCAGTCAAGTTTCCGTTCGTCTGGTTGGTTACGTCAACTCTTAGCCCTTGATGCAGGTGTTTTTTCTAACTTTTCTTTTCAACCCAGGCTCTTTCTGGAAATGTAGACCCACGGACGTTTCTGGAGACCACGAAATACGTCCCGGGAGGTACGTATTTGTGCAGTTTTTGTTTTCGTGAATCCGCGAGAGGACGCTGTGCGTGCTTTTTTGCATCTCTCACGCCTGCGCTGTTCCCGCGTAAAAAGCCACCGGAGGCCGCTGTCGAGCGACCGTCTGTCCAGCTGGCTGAATAACTGAACGACAGACTGGGCAGCCGGCCAATCACCCAAACCCAAGTGTCGATTTACGGAAGCCATGCAGAAAAAGAAAAGCCCTCGTCTGATTTTGAACGCGTTTTCGGATTTCAATGCATTCTCGCCGTTACAACCTAGTTCGCTTTATTTTTTGGAATCTGTTTTTTGTCTTAGCTGATATCTGAAACCGCTCTTCCCCGGACTCGAACCCGGTCATCGAACCCGGCCGGCTCCTCCTCCGGACCTCCGCCGACATAACACGTCAAGCTAAACGGACAAACTAGTTGCGGCGGAAAAGCCCTCCACACGGAGGAGGTGAGCCGTCAGCCCAGCCTGCGAGCTTGAAGAGGAGCGGCGTCACACCGCCCCGTAGCTTTCGCTTGAAAAAATGAAATAAGGCCATACGTACCTCAGGCCACATAATTCGCAGTCTCCTGAAACATCGGCGGGGGCTACGTTTTCAGAATGAGCTTGGGTTGTTTCTTTTTGTTTGTTGAAAGGACCAATTTGGAACTAGGCTTGGGTTCCAAACCCACCCTCGATCTGACTTTGTTAATAAGAGGCATATTCTGCCATCTCTAAAATCTTGTCTGTTACTATGTACTACCTTGATAGATTTCAAAGTAATACTGAACTTTTAAACTCTTTTTGTTATTGACATCTAAGGTAAACATATCAACATTTTTATCTAACCTTTATTCACTAGGCCAATATCCACATAAAGATTAGCACAAAGAGATCCAAGCACGAAACCAAAAATTGGCCCAATCCCTTTAATTGTGTTCAGACAACCTACAGAAAACGAAGAAAAATGGAACAAATCACATAAGAGACATAGATTGAATGTAGCTTTATTATTATTAATAATAATCATCTTCTTCTCACCAATGTAAAAAGCTGAGTTTTCTGGCCGTGCATAATCATCTACGAATGACATTCCCAGAGGGATAATACTGGCTTCCCCAATCCCAAGCATAGTGTTTCCCAAAACCACTATAACCCACAAGGGTGAGCTTTCAGCTTCCTCTTTTCGGCATCCTAGACAACCCAATACAGTATTAAGTGTTAAGTATTGCATTAAACAAATAACTCCTATGCTTTTCTACACATAACGCATTACCAGAAAAAGGCTGTTGAAGAGTTTTCTGAGAGTCGGATGAGCATGTAGAGATCACAGTGAAATTACCAGCATCATTAGTGTGGGTGGCAGCTGTACCATACTTGTACCTGTCAGAAAAAAGCAGACACATATATACTACATACAGTATTTCAAATATAGAACATTAAGAATCCATACTTTTAAAGAGGGGATCTGATATAACTACATAAAGTGAATATACCAAGTATAAGTATGCCTTACTTTATTCAAAACTCACCGGCCCATAATGAAATGAGGTGAAGCCATTAGCAGTGTTCCTATACCCATCAGCAGAACCCCTGCTCCAATGATCTTGGGTCTGTGAAACTTAGCGCCAACATAGCTTACCAGGGTAATGACCAGCATATTACCTGGAAGAAAGTTACACAGTCAACAAATTGTACATTATATCACAGCATACCATCAATCAACATCACAGCAACAATCGTGCGACTCGCTGGTATAAGCACTCATCTACTGCTTGAAGCTCTGCCCTCATTTCACACTACACCTCAAAGCATCTCAAGATAAACCAGTAGCAAAACTTAAAAGCTTGCAAACCTGAAATGTGAGAACTTGTCATATTTGTCACGGTTGGCGAGGAGGACCCAAACGCAGAATTGACAGAAGAACACAAGGTTTAAATTTACAGGAGGTAAACAAGGCAACGCAGAAGGACAATCAATAGTGCAGGGGGATGGCAGGAGGACAGGCTGGTGAGGGGAGGAGACTCAGGACTTAAGGGGGTGACATCCAAACTTCAGGCCAAGCAGTCAATGAGAAGCTAGTCGAACCTCTGGTTTGGGACAAGGGGTGGCAAACGAATGGATCATCAAGTCAAGGGGATCCACAACCAGCGAAGAGTCAAGGCTGATTTATACTTCTGCGTATGCTACGGCGCTCACGCATAGCCCTGACGTGCACCTCTCAAAAAAATTAACTACACTTGGCAACGACGCATAGCGTAAGCTCTGTGATTGGTCGGCTTGGTAGCGCTGACGAGTCGAGGCGGGACCGAGAGCCGCGTGCATGGTGCGAGCCTGATGGAGCGATTGTTTACAAGTGTGAAGTCCCGTGAAGTAGCTTCGGATGCAAAGTTTTGTTTTGTGTTTACCTCATAGTTAAAGTTGTTGCACGTCCACCGGTTCCTGCCTCAAAATGAGCGAGTTTGAGCCACTTGTGTATCCCGGAAGCATTCAGGAAAACAAAACAGCAGCGAAGAAACTCGACACAGAGGAACATTTACACCTCACTGCCCACTAGCTTTTCGGAAGTGTTATTGCAGACCAACAGAGACAGCGCGCAGAAGTATAAATGCACAGCTACGCGCGTTGCATGCGCCGTGGGTTACGCCGGTCACTTGACGCAGAAGTATAAACCAGGCTTCAGGAGGCAAGGGACACAAGAAGGACTAGACAGCAAAATTAAAAAGAAGAACAAGCAAAAAAAAAAACAGAACAAACTAGAACAAAGTAAATACAAGAAATATTCAAGAGGGGGGAGAAATAGAGTACGAGAAATAAAATGAAACAAATAAGGAACTAAATAAAACTACTAAACTTAAAAAAAGGTCAAAAGAAAAAAGCTATAGCTAGAAATAAAAAATGGTTACGATTACCAGCGATCGTCTTTCATAAGATCGCTGGATTTCACTAACAATAACTCATGGACTACAATTCCGCCATTTCTGGACTACATATTCATACATGCACTCCGGTCACACTCACGCATGCTTCCTCTTCTAGACTGATTACTCGCACCACCTGAGGATTGTCAGAGACTGATTGCACACGCTATTTAAGCCACACACTCACCCGTTCAGTTTGCCGAGTCTTGTTTACTGTAAGTAGTCTTGTTATCCTGTGTACCAACCTTAGCCTTGTTAGCCTCCTTGTCTTTGTCTGCCGCCTGCCTTTTGACCTTTCGCTTGTTACTGATTACGATTCTGGACTGCCTTCACATACCCGTTTGGACCTGTATTGACCATTGCTTGCCTGGCTACGAATAAACCTGCGTTGTGGATCCACACCTCTGTTGTCAGTGTCACTTCCCGTTGTTACAAAAACGGAAAGCAAAACACAGGAACAGGAATTTACAAAAAATAAAGAACTAACAAAAGACTAGGGCAAGACTGGGGTTGAGGATCACAAAAATGGCTAAATGAAAACTTGAAATCAATCTTGAACTACAAACAAAAAAAAAATATTGAAACTGACAGCAACCTTGCTGAAAGAATAAAAATAAAAATAAACTGAATCAAAAGGAAAAATGAATTTGAGATAAAGATCAAAAAGACTAGTACTAGACTCGGACTAGACAAAAGAAACAAAACTAGACTATATAAAAAAACCTCTATCATGCACTAAACAAGATCAGCTAGACAAGCACACGAAAGATAGCATGACGAACCGGCAAAGACAAGTGGGAAATGAACTCAATATAAAGGGAGTAGAGAGCATGAGAAACAGGTGGTTTTAGAGGGGTTTTGGCCATTTCCAGGCTGGTTTCCAGCCTGGTCTTAGCTGGTCAGGCTGGAAAATGACCAGCCAAATTCAGCTAAAACCAGCTTGACCAGCCTGGTTTAAGCTGGATATAGCTGGTTTTGGCTGGGCTCCCAGCTTGGCTAGGCTGGATAAGCTGGTTTTAGCTGGTCATCTCCAGCCTGACCAGCTAAGACCAGGCTGGAAACCAGCCTGGAAGTGGCCAAAACCCCTTTAAAACCAGCCTGGTCGACCCGCTAAAACCAGCCAACCAGCCTAGGCTGGTTTAAGCTGGATTTTTCAGCAGGGTAGACAAACAAGGATTAAACATGGGGGCGAGGCATAAGAAAACAAGGAAGCAGGACAAGGGGCCAACACAACAAAAGAGACAACCATGTGCTAATACATAAAAACAAACAAAGAGACATTAAACACAGACAGGAGTGACAGGGCTGTAGGGGCTGGATCCTGACAATATTAATGTTTGTAAGTTGAAGTTTACAGCTCTGATGTCAAAAGTTCTCCATTTGCACACGCAGACAATTATCCAAACATTTATGTTTTAAATTCCAGTTTTCGCAAGCTCTCAAATCTACAAGTTCAAATCGCAGCATTTTGACTTTTGTTACTCCTTTTGCCAACCCAAGCTCATTCTGAAAACGTAGTCCCGCGGACGTTTCTGGAGACAGCTAAATACGTCCCGGGGGGTACGTACGGCCGCGTTTATTTTTTTTCAAGCGAACGCTGCGGGGCGGTGTGACGCTGTTCCCTTTCGCGCTTGCCTTACCTCCTTGTGGAGGGTTTCCCCGCTGCAACCCGTTTGTCCACTCAGCTCAGCATGTACGTCGGCAGGCTCGAGATGCGGAGAGGAGTCAACCACGGCGACCGGTTTCAAGTCCGAGAAGAGCAGTTCCAGCAATCAGGTAAGACACAAACAGAATCACAAAAATTAAGTGAACGAGTTTCGTAACAGGGTGAGAACGCGGCGAAATCCGAAAACGCGGTGGAATAAAAAAAAAAATCAGGGCTTTTATTTTTTCGGACGGCTTTTGTGAACTGTTGCTCGGGCGGGCGCCCGGTACGATCGGTAAAATGGGTTGGGTTCAGGGAAGGAGGAGGGAGATTGGCCGGTCGCGCAGTCAATCATCCGGTCAGTCAGACAGCGGCCTCCGGCGGGTTCACACGAGAACAGCGCAGACACGAACCACACTCGCGAGAGGCGTCTGAGGTGCGAAAAAGCGCGCAACAGCGGCCTCTCGCGGAATCGCGAAAAGAAAAACTGCAGCCGTATGTACCGCGGGACTACGTTTCCACAATGAGCCCGGGTTGCCTTTTGCGATATTTTAATTGCGAAACTTATTTTGTATGTAATTTGTAAATGAACCTCTTTGGGGTTCTGTGGATCATCGTTCGTGCTTGCAAATCGAAGTTTCAACTTTTCACATCCGAGCTGTGTGTAAATGTCAACATGAACATCCAGATATCAGTATGTTCTCAGATTCAGATTGATTTACTGATTTAGTTTTGCTACTGATTTAGCTTCTTAACTCACCCATTTCGAAACCCCCATCAATGATGCCAACGGTGGAGCTCGGGATCTCAAACCGCCTCTCGATCTGAGTGATGGTGCTTTTGGTGTAAGACGCCGTCATGGATTTAGAGAAGTAACAGAAGGCAAGTGCGGCAATAAAGATCTACTCAGACACAAGGATAGAAAAAAAAAATTACATAAATATTAAGCTACATCCATTCTCATTAAATCAAAAGACTAACGAATAGTAGACTTCAGGCATATGGTCTTACCTTCAGCCTTGGAGGGCAGCATTTGGTTTGAGATGTTTTCTGGTTTCTGTCTGAATGTTCCATGCCAATTGTGCTGCCTTCCATGATGAACTATTGGTCAGGTAAGAGGAGAAAATCCAAAGGAAAGAGACAACTCAATTGAAAATCACACATGCCAGATTCACTGGAAGATCCAGTTGAAATCTGGTTGGCTCCGGTAATCCTCTCAGTCATTACAGATTTATATGAAAGAAATAAAGAGAAAATAAAGCTGCATTTCAACTCGTGTTGAACACTGGATGACACCTGTTACTTCAGCTATTTTTTCCTGTATGACAAGTGCTTTCATCCCTCTAGATCACAGTTGTCAAATTCAGTTTCTCGGAGGGCCGCAGATCTGCACAATTTAGTTCCAACCCAACTAAGTACGTCCTTCAGGCTTGTTTGAAACCTACAGGTGTTTTGAAGCAGGGTTGGAGCTAGACTGTGCAGGGCAACCGCCCTCCAGAAACGGAATTTGACACCCCTGCTCTAGATTGAATGGTTCGTTCTGAAACAGGGAATAAAATGGCTGCAATGTTGCTTGGCACAATTCGCTTTCATAGAAATTTTTTTTTTAATCGGTCCAAAATGTATAGTCATATCATATGCGCATAGGTTAAAAATAAATAGCCATGTTTACCATTCGTTAAACATTCATATAGAACATAAATGGGTTAGAGCAGGGATCACCAAACTTGTTCCTGGAGGGCCGGTGTCCTGCAGATTTTAGCTCCAACCCTAACCAAACACACCTGAACAAGCTAATCAAGGTCTTACTAGGTATACTTGAAACATCCAGGCTGGTGTGTTGAGGCAAGATGGAGCTAAACCCTGCAGGGACACCGGCCCTCCAGGACCGAGATTGGTGACTCCTGGGTTAGACAATGAAACTCAAACTGGATTTAAACCACAATAATTTATTATATGGTGTAGGGTTTCATTCTGCAGCCGTTACAGCATCAATTTTTCAACCCTACAAAAAAAAAAACAGCTTAAACCAGCCTAAGCTGGTCAGGCTGGTTTTGGCTGGTCACCTAAGCTGGTTTTAGCTGGTTTCCCAGGCTGGTCATGGCTGTTTTGATTGGTTTTAGAGGGGTTTTGGCCACTTTTTAGCTGGTCTTAGTTGGTCAGGTTGGTCTTAGCTAGTTATAGCATGTCAGGTTGGTTTTAGATTGGTTTTGGCCACTTTTTAGCTAGTCTTAGTTGGTCAGGCTGGTTTTAGCTTGTCAGGCTGGTCTTGGCTGTTCAAGATGGTTGTTCTTAACTGGTTTTAGCTGGTCAAGCTGGCTGGTTTTAACTGATTAGACTGGCTAATCTTAGCTGATTTTAGCTGGTCAGGCTGGGAGACCAGCTTAACCAGGCTGAGAGACCAGCCTGGCCAGGCTAAAGGACCAGCTAAAACCAGCCTGGCCAGGATGGGAGACCAGCCTGGCCAGGCTAGGAGACCAGCAAAAACCAGCTTGACCAGGCTGAGAGACCACCTTAAACCAGCCTGGTCAGACTGAGAAACCAGCTTGACCAGTCTCGCTGGGTTGGGGGACCAGCTAAAACCAGATTGACCAGGCTGGGAAACCAGCTAAAACCAACTTGACCAGGCTGGGAGACCAGCTAAATCCAGCCTGGCCAGGATGGGAGACCAGCTAAAACCAACTTGACCAGCCTGGCCAGGCTGAGAGACCAGCTAAAACCAGCCTGGCCAGGATGGGAGACCAGCTAAAACCAACTTGACCAGCCTGGCCAGGCTGGGAGACCAGCAGCTTGACCAGGCTGAGATACCAGCTAAAACCAGCCTGGTCAGACTGAGAGACCAGCATGACCAGTCTGGCCAGGGTGGGAGCAATCCAGACCAGTCTGGACAAGGGTCGGAGCAATCTTTCAAAACACCCCAAAGTGACTCAATAATATTGATGAAGGGATGAGGAACTTCACTTTCATGCTCATCAAACCATTCTGTCGCCAATCCTGCTGTGTCTAGTGATGCATCAACCTTGCATTGAAGTAGTCCTTGACAGTGACTCGCCCATCTGGCAGCCCAAACCATCACTGATCCACCCCAATGCTTCACTCTGCATCAGTCTGGGTGGTGTGCTTCTTCGGGGCTTCTCCACACATTAACTCTCTAAGATGTAGGGACAGTGAAGGTGGACCACTTGCGTCCACATTTACTCCTGTGGGATGTGGTTTGTCCTTCTTGGTGGTATGCTGACATTTCCCCGAATACCTCTTGATACATTGCAAAGACTTGCTGAATTGGTCACAGATGTGACAGCGAGATGCGCACCAACAATCCTCTTTTGCATGTGACCCAAAATGTCGTACGAAAATGATTACAGCTAAAATTATTAACAAATTGCTGCATGAAACAAAACCCTGGGTACTTTTTAAACCCTGGTCATTTGTAAAACTTTATAGACATCCTTACCATATTATTCCGATGGTAATCCTGTGTCTGATGATAGTTACCTGTTTTAAATTTGCGTTTTCTGCTTACCCTGCTGAAAAAAACAGCTAAAACCAGCCTAAGCTGGTTGGCTTGTCTTAGCTGGTTTAAGCTGGAAGTAGCTGGTTTTAGCTGGTCTCCCAGCCTGGTCAAACAGGTTTTAGCTGGTCTCCCAGCCTGGCCAGGCTGGTCAAGCTGGTCTCTCAATCTGACTAGGATGGTTTAAGCTGGTCTCCCAGCCTGGTCAAGCTGGTTTTAGGTGGTTTCCCAACCTGGCCAGGCTGGTCAAGCTGGTATCTCAGTCTGACCAGGCTGGTTTTAGCTGGTCTCTCAGCCTGGTCAAGCTGGTTTTTGCTTGTCTCCCAGCCTGGCCTGTCTGGTCAAGCTGGTTTTAGCTGGTCTCCCATTCTGGTCAAGCTGGTCTCTCAATCTGACCAGGCTGGTTTTAGCTGGTCTCTCAGCCTGGTCAAGCTGGTTTTTGCTGGTCTCTCAGCCTGGTCAAGCTGGTTTTTGCTGGTCTCTTAGCCTGGCCAGGCTAGATTTAGCTGGTCTCTCAGCCTAGTCAAGTTGGTTTTAGCTGGTCTCCCAGCCTGACCAGCTAAAACCAGCTAAGACCACCCCACCTGACCAGCTAAGACCAGCCTGACCAGCTTAAACCAGTTAATTCCAGCCTGACAAGCTAAAACCAACCTGATCAACTAAGACCAGCTAAAAAGTGACCAAAACCCCTCTAAAACCAGCCTGTCCCACTAAAACCAGCTAAGACCAACTTGACCAACTAAAAAGTGCTTAAAACCAGCAAAGACCAGCTAAGACCAACCTAATCAACTAAGACCAGCTAAAAAGTGGCTAAAACCCCTCTAAAACCAGCCTGAACAGCTAAAATTAGCTAGACCAGTTAAAACCAGCTAAGACTAGCTTGAACAATTAAGACCATCGAAAAAGTGGCCAAAACCCCTCTAAAACCAGCCTGACCAGCTAAAACTAGCTAGACCAGCTAAAACCAGCTAAGACCAACTAAGACCAGCTAAAAAGTGGCAAAAACCCCTCTAAAACCAGCCTGACCAGCTAAAACCAGCTTGGGTGACCAGCTAAAACCAGATCAGCTTAGGCTGGTTTAAGCTGTTTTTTTCAGTAGGGTACCTACAGGCCTGTATTCTTCCAGTGTGTCATTACAGAAATCCTCCTGATGATCCGTTAGTGCCAGCACAGGCTGGATATTAAAAATAGCTACATATTATACTTGCCATCCTCTGTAAATTGCAGTCCCTGGCTTTAACTTAAGTCTGGCAGTGGCCGATTTAGGATTTTTTAATGTCAAAATATTTCGCAATCTTATAATAATACTCACATGTCCAGAGTGGTCTTCACATTCAGAAAAAGTGGCAATATTCTAGTCGAAATATGCCCGAAACAGCAACATTTATACCTGCCCGCAGGTGTTTTACTAATCTTTATCTAGCAGTGAGGATTTCTTTAACCCTATTGTTGCCCCGGTAAAAACCCGTTCACATGCGGCAGGTTTTAAACACGTTATTCACAATTTATATTCACAAACAGAACTGTATGTTTGCATGCATGTATGTATGCATTTAAAGAACTGGAAATTTCTAGTTAATAAATATAATCTTAGGTAAAAACACAAGCTAAAATGGAACATTTAAACATGGAATTACTCAATATCTGTTGGTAAGAATGTGGAGCATGACTATAATTCGTCCATTCTGTTAGTATTTGTGTGGCAAAATGAATAAAACAGTCTAAAAGGCAAAGAGGAAAAGAGCTTTACAGATATAGCAGTGAGAATTAGATAAGCCATTTAAACAAGCGTCCACCAGCAAACCCTTAATGGAGCCAATCACAAATATCATTCTTGTTGGCACAGTACTCAGTTTTCTCAGCCCAATGTGCTAAACCTTCGGTTAATGTGTGGTAAATTATGGCAATGAAATCATCTTCATGGAAATGATTGCTAAAGTTTTGCACCACAAACCCAGCAAAAGAAGAAGGACGCTGTCTGATTACGTTCCCATGCCAGGACAATTCTTATTTGTCTCCACTGCAACACCTCCTCTCCTAGATTTGGTATAACTCTGAGGGGGGGTGGTCAACAGAATGTTGGCTGCACTGAATAAACACTCTCTGAAAACAAATGAACACTTAGCTACATGTAAAGTTCTCATAAGCGAAAACCACAAAACATCACAACAAGAATAAACAAAGTAAACCAAAGTCAGAAACTTAATAGTCTTTCTGAACAAAAACAAAAGTCAGTGACCACTTATTCAGAGCACTTGAGAGCGATGCAAATTCTTATGATGTCCTGTGCCTCCTTTGAAGAGAGGAGGTTATCTGTAATGCTGCGTTCGCACCAGACGCGGAACGCGCGTCAAGCGTGAGTGATTTACATGTTAAGTCAATGCAAACGCGCGAATAGACATCCTGCGGCGCGATACGCGCGAATGGCACGGCGCGAATGATGCTAATTGCGCGAAAGGCGCGGGGCGAATTGAGCGTTTTGCGCGAATCTCTCGAGTTCAAAAATCTGAACTTCAGCGTACATTCGCGCCGCGTTAACCAATCAGGAGCTTGCTCTTGTGGGGGAGTGATTGTGATGTAGAACCTGTTGTTGGTGTTCCGAGGGAAATCCTCCAGCCTTCACCAACAACAGTTCATTAAACTCGGCTTGGCTTAGTCAGAAGCACAGCTGAAAGCCTCCATCATCCAGGTTCAGTTTCTGGAGGAGTTTATGAGCTCACAGAGCTGGACGCACCTCTGAAAGGATGTAGTGGACTAAGACACGACCCTAAACGTATCGACGCTGTTTTTCAGTCTTCATAAAGCACATAAACACTGTTATTTTCTTCATAAAATCCATGTTAGCCATTTAGCTATGAAGCTAGAGTCTTCGGGCAAACAGAAGCCCTGTCCATCACGCGAATCCGCGTCTGTTCTGAAGTGAATTTGACGCGTGAATTAAGCGAGTAAACTCAAATGTTCACGCGACTATTTACGCGTGAATAGCACGATTTATCCGCGCGTTCCGCGTCTGGTGTGAACACAGCATAAGATAGTTGTCAAGTTGCCCTGATT